GAGATTCAAATGAATAAAGGGCATTTATATTTGGAGCCAAGAAAAGTAAACAAGAGTGGCCAGAAATTTGCATCACCTGAATGTATTCATGCTTTAAATATAACTCCAAATTTTCTGTCCAGACCTACTTTCATAAAAAAAAACTGTGTTTAACAAATGATTTATGAAAGCAGTGGAGACTAAATTTCATTCATTTAGAATTTTGCAAAATGTATCAAATTTTCCATATTTACTAATTTTGGCCGATTTTTTTAAAAGCCCATTTTTTTGGTTTGAATGTCAAATTCAAACCCTTTATTTCAAACTCACTATATTAGACTCATCTAGTTCCATGTGCCAATAGTTATCTCCTTGTGAAATTCTCTCCTACAAAATTCCAAATCATTTAACCCATTTGAACTTTTTTTGCTCCCTGTCACTGATCTAACGAACACCTTTATCCACTGAGCCATATGTCCTGAGGATAAAGGCATTTTAAAGGACATGACTCATAACTGACATCCATTAAACATATTCAATTTTAGAACAGTCTACCCCATGATCAAAATAAAGGGTTCAGTTCAACATTTAACCAATTTGATGAAGGCCGAGCAAAAATTTTGTCTAAAATTCGTAATTTATATAGCAAAAAAAAAAAAAAAAGTCCGAATTTTTAAATAATGTACATAATACCTTCTCAGAAATATAGACAGATACTGAAGGCATTGGAGGTTCAAAAATTTATTTTTTCCATTTCCCAGATGGGCTGCCTTCAATATTGAATCAGCCATCAAAAAAAATTTCCATTTGATTATATCCAATATAGTTTATTTTATCATTTTTCCAGTTTAGAGCTGACTTAGTTGTCAAAGACTATTTGAGACACATTTTATAGACAATGAAACTGAAATAGACATTATATTTATGAACAAGAACAAATTATAAGACAAAAAAACATGAAGTAACAATGTTTACTTTTGAGTAATAGGATCGGCGGAGTTTATAATGAGAATATGATTGGTTTTCAGGAACAGAATTTTTGCTTGTAATAAATAATTACAGAAATAATCAAAGAACTGATAAAACAATTTTTTTTTAAGCAAATGTAGTTTCATAGACAATGAAAGAAAAGCTTTTTTTACAAAAAAATATAAAAACTATTTTGTGTTTGATCCTCAATTTGTCTGCACATGTCCTTTTGTTCAGATAAGGTATGTTTTGAACTATCAAAATAACTAATTTAAAGTAGCTCATAATAAATTTTTTACAAAAAATGCATTTCAAGTTAATCTAAGATGCATAGATTTTTTCAGATATATTCATTTAAAATACAGTATGTTTATTGAAAGAGCTTTTGAGTTCATTCTGCCTTTTCACCGAAACAGCAATTATTGAAATATATTTAGAACAAAATTGATAATTCATCTACAAAGAGGGAGGAAAATAAACAAACCTAGTCATCATTTTTTTTATCATTTCAAATAAGATAAGGCAATAAAGCCACATGGTTGAGCAAAAATTTTATCCAATGAAAGATATAGAATAAAGAAAAACCAGAAAATGTTCCTGAAGAGAAAGGACAATAAAAGGAAAGATTCAAAGGGAAAAAGATGACAAAATTGTTGCATTTAAATTTTTGTATTTGTTAGAAAAGCAAAGAACTAAAAAGCAGAATGTGACAGAAGAAAATATTAGAACAGAATTTATGGTTACATTTGAATTGGGGGTTTAAAAAAATGATATTCCTAGCTAATATTTAGTACTATTTTAATTGGAGAAAAGTCAAGACACCAGTAGGTAAGCTCATCAGAATAATTGCTAATAAAAATATTTCTAGAAAAGGCACAGAGAAGTCATTTTATGGTGGTGGAATGTTAAATCAAAGGCAAGATGCCATATTAGTTTTGATAATATTAACTTTGGGTTTTCAAAATATTTACAATTTGTAACTCAAAGAATTTCAATTTAAATTCTAAAAATAAGTCCCTTTCCAAAAACATTGACATGGCAACTTTTGTGAAAAATAACTATTTTTTTTGAAAATGTCATTTTAAAAACTTAACTACTAAATTTTCATGTTACCTTTACTTTCAAAAGTGTTTGTTTTTAAACTCAAAAGCAAATTAAAGAGGTGTTTTAAAAAATTAGCAAATTGTTTATTGATTAGCAATTTATCTTTTTAAAACTTATGACAATTTTCAGATTTTAAACAAGATTTTAGAGATGTTGTTTGAGAATTAATCTAAATTTAATGTGAAAAAGGAAAATAGCAGTAATGTATCTTATAAGTATAGAGTGTGAATTTTCTATATAAATGCAAATGTCAGTGTGTCACATTTTTTCAGCTTTACTTCTAGAGGCCATAGCCCAACATATTATACCATTTTGAAATCAGGCTAACTCTATGAGCAAATTAAAAAACATTGGATCCAGACCCACAATCCTGAAATTTTGGATTCCCAAGTTTTCATTACTGCAATTGTTTTTTTTTTTTTTGATTTTTTTTGATAAATTTTTTTTTTTTTTTTTTTTTTCTATAATAACAATTTTTATAACTTGAAATAAATTTGAAATAATAAATTAATTGCAAAATTAATTGCAGACCCATGAAATAAAAATAATTGTTTGTATGAAAAGTAAGGACCTACATACATCAAATTGTCTTTAAATTAAATGGTGGCAGAAGAAGAATTATTGAACTTTTAAAAGGTAAGCTTAAATATTAATGCAATACTTAAATGCAGTGATCAATTTTGAGTTCTTCTGTAGTTTATTGTTGCCTATCACATATGGCAGTATGCCTCACAAAAATAAATCTCTGCCAACAGAGGACCAGATGACAATCAAAAGAGCCAAGGCTGCAGCAAGGAAAAGAAAGTCCCATGCAAATGAAAACCCAGATCAAACGGCAGCCAAGAGAAAATTCCAATGCTGAGAATATGCAAAGACTTAGGGACTGTTCAAAGTTCCTGAACAAGCCAAAGGCCTGATCAAGATCCCTTTTAGGACTAGCTTAAATGCCACCAAACAAGGCAAAATTTTAATGAGTATAATATAAATAAATTTTATGTAAATGTTTTTATTTGATTTTATGTTCTTTTTTTTTTTTTTTTTTTTTTTCAATAGGACAGATATAGAAGTTTTTTTCACAAAATTAAAAGCTGTATAAAAGGTGTGTCACAATGTTTAGGATTGATTTAATATCAAATACTACTTTTTTTTTTTTTATTCTTTAACTAAATGGTATTCTTTCTGGTAAACATTATTTGTTTGACCATGAAATACATTTTTTTTATATAACAAATTAAAAAATTTTAGTTAGTAAAATAAAAATATAAATAAATTTATTTTCCCTTCCTACATTCATTTTCCACCAACTTTGTACGTGGTGATGTTGTGTCAATCCTGATTCAATGATTTTGGGGAACTAGTATATCTACATTTCCTACAAAGTTTAAAACATCAAAATTTCTAAGGCCACTTAAAGACATAGTCCAGCCCAGTGTTAAATTTTGCAAGTTGACCCATGGTAAATTGGAGAATCATGGACAGATCTACCTAAAATTTATTTTGGCAGTGTGAATGAAGAAGAATTTAAATGCTTTTTTTTGGTTTTAATGTTTGTTTTAAAATATACTTAATACTGATTGATACAGTAATTTTTCATTTTAATTACTTTTTCTTCATTACAATTTGAGCTTCTATTAATACAAAGAATAATATGTGGCCTTAGTTTTTCTTTTCAGTAACTAAAAAATAAATAGCATGTAATTTAATTATGCCTCTTTATTTGGGTCATATTGAAAAGAATATTGCTGTTTAATTAAAGAATTTAAATTACAGATGTGGAATTTAATTTGGTGAAATTGGAGGCAATACTTGTTTGAATCAATTGATTGGTTCTCTGGAAGCAGTATGCCTCACAAAAAGAGTAGATGACTATGTCCCAATCCTATCAAATACACATCATTAACCTTTTTGGATGATAACTGGACTTAGTAGTAGTATAATTCACTTAACCCATAGTCTCTTTTATTTTACATTGTTGTAAAGTGTCCATTTTTTTCATCACTTATTGCAATTTCTTTAAACATGGAATACCATGTTTTTTAAGTAGCAAATATGATTTTTTTTACAGTGGCTAGCATAAACAAAATAGTACAAATGATTTTCAATGTTTAATTTGAATACTTTCAACATGTTGGCTATTTTCTATGTTGTATTGATTATTCTCTAGTTTTGTTTTTTTCTAGTTTTGTTTTTTCTCTAGTTTTTTTTACAGTTTAGGCTTCACAAAATAGTACAAATTTTTAACTTTAAAATACTACTTTCAACATGTTGGCTATTTTCTATGTTGCATTGATTATTCTCTAGTTTTGTTTTGATTCGATCATTATCAACTTCAGCCAGTTTACTTGAGTATCATTTAACAAATACCCAACATGACTTTTTCATAAACTATTTTTGACACATTTGATCATTCACAGTATAAACTGCATGAATGTTTTTTGCATTTTAGTTGCATTTTACTTTTCTTAAAATAAAAAAGTATAAAAAAAACACTGAAAGTGTTTCTAAAAGAATATTTTTCAATATGTATAATTGTTTTCATTTTTTAAACAATATTCCTTGATATGACAGCTCTTGCAATCCAACCAAGTGATCTTTCACATCAATGTTATTAAATGTTTTTATTTTTATTAAATGATGGAGAAAAAAAAATAAATGACAACCCAATATATAATTTTGCAATATGCAGACTACATTTCTCTAATTAGTTCTTCTTAGCTATGACTTTTGAATCAACTAGATATATAAATTTGCAAGATTTGTTCCATACTCATATTTCATATTAATATCTAACTGCAATAAGTTTGCTTTAAAACTTTCATGCGTACTTTTACATATTGTATTTCATATTATGACTATCCATTCCATATTTCTTGTCCATTGATGAATAAAAAAATTTTTAGGGAATTCTTTTTTTAATTATTATCAAATTTTTTTTCATCAAATTTCAGGTGAAAGAAGAAGAAGTTGTATCAATTTTAGAGAAAATCCTTTCAAACAACAACTCCACTGTTGTAACAAAAGAATATGCTATAACTGCCCTTTTGAAACTCAGCACCAGATTTTCAGAAGCATCAGGAAAGTAAGTGATTCTTATTTTTCAGAAGATTCACATTGATTATCAACAAGAATCAACCTCTGCAAAAACACATTATACATTCAGTAACTTATTAGATGTTTACTGTTCATGAACTACACTGTCATATTTTATAATACAAATTGATATTAATCAGTTGATAATAGTAAAATTTTCAGAATATATGATAAATTTCAAATTTCTGATTTTATTAGAAATATTATGCACACAAGTGGTTTTTTGTAATGTAAATAAGTACCTATAATAGCAGAGTTATTGATATATTTAATTTCAGATATAAAATTACAATCAGAAAATATAAGAAAAATATAACTTCAAAAGAGAAACAAGATATTGTAAAGTCATTCAATAATGAGAATACAATATTCATAATTGCATAAAAGTCGAACAAAGATCATAGAACAATAAAAAAAACAAAATTGAAAACCTTGGCAAGAGCAACAAAAATGTTTTTAGAATATTACCAAAAGAGACTTAAGAAAAAATTAAAATGGCAACAAACAAGAAAAGTCATCTGACCAGCAAGAAAATATTTGAAGAATTTGGTGTTGCAAATGAGAGAAATATTAAGAATGTTGGTTAAAGACATAAAAGCAACCAAACTACCACCTTTAAGTAAACATCACAAAGGGAAATCTGTAAGTTGGGTGAAGAAGTACATGAAAACTGATTTCTCAACAGAAAGTTTTAGTAATAAATATAGAACTAAATTGGATTAAATGATTTGCATATTATGCAAAACCCTTGGGTTTTGCATAATATGCAAACATCCATTTAAAACAAATTCTTAATAAGGAAAGATATGAACTGAAATCTACATAATATATTGCTCATATTAATATATACCGAAAATGTTACCAACATGTTGCTTAATACCAATTTTATTTTAAAGACATTGAGTTGAATAATAGTCTTACATAATGTATTAGGGCATTTGACAATTTGGCATAGTCCATCTTCATTTGCACACATCCTGTATATAACATTTGATTGATTTTCATGTATTTTCAAAAAGATTTTTTAATCTTCTGGTTAGCCAGCAACCTGTTTGTTTTCTATTTTCATATATCTTAATTATTTACCTCCTTATATGTGCACATATATCTACAGTGTAAAATTATCTGCATGGTACATTCAATTTCACTTAAAATAATTCATTTTTCAAATAATGAAATACATTTTATACATAAAAAATATGATCCTGAATGTTGAATCACAATCTATTTCAGGATACTTTTATTCAGTATGTTATAGACAAGCGTATGGTTGCAAGAAAGAAATACGACAACAGCAGAAATAGATTTACATGGTTTATTTCAACAGGAACGTGTGGGTTTGGGACAGCTACCTTGTGATAAAGTTCATAAGCCGGCTTCCGATCTAGGTCAATCTCTCATAGTAGTTCACACATGTTGACGGGAGGTTGATGCTCCCCTGGTACTGACAGCTAATGACCGTGAAGGTCTGTTCCCTGGCCACCTGTGACTGCCTGTTGAACTTCCGTTGACCCTTTTATAGTGTTTTTTTTATTGCTTAACAGGCTCTGGAAAAATGAAGCAGTATAATTAGGAGGGAAGCATTTTATTGGTTAAAAATAGAAACACTTTAAAATATTATTTTATTTTTCGACCGGAACTCGTGTGTCGGGAACATTTGTAAACGAAGATAATGGTCATTTTGTGACAGGGCTTTGTCCCGTTCTCATCCGGATCTCGCTCTTGAGTATTTGCCTGTAAATCAGACGAAAATATGTCTTATTTTATTTTATAACAAGTACAATAACATTATGAGCAAAATAGGCAAGAACAAAATTATTTGTCTGGTTCAACTAATAGTCAGTGTCATAGTGTTCCTGGTCAATAAATTCATAGTGTTCCTGGTCAATAAATTTTAGTAAACATTTTATATAGTTAATCAACTAGAGATTTTTCAGCACATTATACCATTCCTTGAAAGCAAACTGCTTTAAGTGTACTAATTTGAATAATTTTGTCTAATATATAATTGGGATGTGTTTACTGTACATGGCCAAACACTTTCATGTAAAACTCTTCAATTTAGTATGCACCAGGGGAAGGTTTTTTTGCCCAAAGATTTATTTTAGTTTACTTTTCTGTTATATGGATTTCACTTTCACAGTTACAATTATCATTTGTAACCATTCATTGTAAGATTATAATTTTTTGTTTGGTCATACTCTTGTCCAGGCATAAAATATTTGTGTACATTGGAAAAACAATTGTACTGAACAATTTTTCTCCTATATTTTCTAGTTTTCCGAGTATTTTTGTCAGAAACTTACTAGGAATAAATGGAATCTGTTTTGTTTTTCATTACTAACATAAATAAAATATTGTCCATATCTATAATGTGTGTCTCTGAAAATGGACAATGAATTTTTATTTATGCTATTTATATGCAAACTATTGTCCTTATCTTTGTTGTTGTACACATATGCTCTCCAGCCTTCATCAAGTGTATGTCAATCTGGAAATTCAAAAACTGAATCCTTTATTTAATCTATAACTGTGGACTGTTCTTGTTCCACTGCCTATATCTAGGATAGTTCTTATTTTTTGTACTACTCAGTTATTACTTGTTCTGTTTCCACTGAGACCAAGTACACACTGCCAGATCCAGGGATTACCTTAAACTTAACCTGCCAACCTGTCTGCTGTACAGTGCTGCTTGTCATGTTTAACTGTAATCAGTCAATTGTCCACAGTTTGTTCATGCAGTAAATTGAATACATTAAAAGCTAGAGAAAATTGAATTAAGATCTTACTTGCTTAAGCAAGAGAAAATGGAAAGCTGAAGTCATTATAATGGATTGGCTCCAATATTTTATGATTTTAGCCAAATTTTCACATGTCACATTTTTTACCCTTTGATATATGCATAAATTAAGTTTTGTAATGCTACAAGTACTTCTGGAGAAAAAAAAACTGTCATTTAAGGTCAAGACTTGTAGAAGAGCAGGGAACCTGAACAAATTTGTGTACCTGAAACTGAAAACTAGCAAAACAAAAAGTGTAAACATTTAACAGTAAGCAGTTAAAAATTAGCCATTCACAATATTTTAAAAAAGAATAAGGTCTTGTTAATTTCAAGTTAGACAGTAATAACATAAGAGAAATAGTCCAGATATATGTAACTGTCTTGATCAGAATTATGGATGTCTGATATGAAAGACATTCACATTATTTACATTATTCAGGCTATTGTCCTCATCTTTGTCGTCATATTTATTACAACGTTTCGGCCGTTGTACGCTCCAGCCTTCTTCAGTTGGAATGTCGAACTGGGGTAGACTGTTCTAGTTCCATGTGCCATGTTTTGATGGATGTCAGTTATCAGTTATCTCCTGCCTTAACCAGGTATTGAACTCACACTCTTTGGGTCCTGTCACTGGATCTAACCAACGCCTTTATCCATTGTGCCATGTGTCCTTGAGAACATCTGGGTATTATAAACCTAATGTCTACTGGACCATGTGAACTCAATAAGGCCTTCGATACAGTTCACAATGGAGAAAGAGAGTAACAACACACTCCCATTCCTGGATGTTCTAATATCTCGAACAAAGCATGGGTTTAAGACATCCGTATACCATAAACCGATATTCACCGGACAGTACCTCAATTTCAACTCCCACCATCCATACAGCAAAAGGGATCGTCCGTTGCTTAAAACACAGAGCAAAAGTCATAAGTGGCGACCCAGAGACGTTAGATAAAGAATTGGTCAGTATAAGTAGTACCCTACAACGTAACAACTACCCTGGGTACATGGCAACAGCCCCCAAAAACTGGGATAGGTGGGTACAAGAGGAGGAGGACAACGACACTCAGAAAACAGTCTGCCTGCCTTTATGTGAAGGGGTTATCAGAGAAAATACAAAGGATCTGCAGTCCATATAACATCAGGACAACCTTCAAAAGCTTGACGACACTTCGCAGATATCTCTCCCGAGTAAGACCCCCCCCATAGAGGAGAACTGTGTGTACGCTATCCTGTGCAGCTGCAGAAAGGAATATAAAGGAGAGACAGGCCACCCCCCTCAAAGTAAGTCTTAAAGAACACCAGAAAGCTGTAACACGAGGGAAAGTGGAAAAATCAGGCATGGCTGACCACGGAGAGAGAAGGCAAATCACCGTCCTCTGTGGGATTATGTTGAGGTCATAGACAAGGAACACCATTGGAAAATTCAACTTCATCAGCACATATGCCAGGCCACAAAAATCTCCTGAGCTGACCAAGCATAGAAATAAATACAATATGGGAACCAGTAATAAGGAGTGCCAGAGAAAAGCAATGATAACAACTAAGTTGCAATATGAGCTCTGGTAAAAACATGGAATGATAACAGCAAAATTGCAATATGGTTGCAATTTTGCAATATGGTTGCAATTTTGCAATATGGTTGCAATATGGTTGCAATATGTAAAAATGGTTGCTGATGACATTAGGTTTATAATACCCAGAAATTCATACCCAGATGTGAGCGATATGTTGTAATAAATATGACGACAATAAAGATGAGGACAATAGTCCGAATAATATAAATGTACATAATACCTCATCTCAGAAATGTAGACAGACTCTGAAAGACATTCACGCTGGTATTAAATCTACAATGTTTTCTGCAATCTGTGCCAACATTTTCACAAGAGTCTCTTTCCCAACAGAAGCTAAAAGAGTGTGGAATTCTGATAGGAGGCATTGGAGACATTCTGTCATTGTCATCACCAGCCAGGTACTGTAAACAGCAAAGGAATTGTATTTAATAGCTATGATAAATTTTACTAAACTTCCTTCAACTTAGTAAAGGGATAATATCTCTTTCAAACTGAAAGACACAATATCGAAAAGTGGATTATAATTTTGCTTGATAGTTGACTAGGCTACAAATGGTAAGCGGAAAATAAAACACTGGAGTAGATGTGATGTTGCTCTGACAGATTGATTCCAACTGGCCAAGTAATTTAATTTCTATGCCTCACAGTGGGCCCAAGGGTGGTAATTTGGAATAAAATGGCTATCAAAAAAACATACAAAGTTATTTTTTATGAAAACTAGATAAATTTATGAATAAATAACAAAAAAAAAGCTCAATATCTTGTCTAGAAGTAAAGTTATGGCAATTTCAATGTTGTGAATTTATGAAAAATTAGATGATACACCATTTTTCATAGAATTTAATGAAAATCTGTATTTTTGGGAAAGTGGCCCATAAAATGCAATCTTTACTCAAACCCTTGTGCCTAAATCTTATTTTCTGTAGCATATATATCACATAGACACATAAAAACTTTATTTGAAGATATTTTACCCCCTTACTAACCCATACTGGACCCTAGAAAGACAATCTGGTAGATAAAGAAGGCAATATTTTAGGGAAAATTTGGCTGAAAATTGCACTTCTTCCTCAAATTACCAGAAAGATGGCATCCAGACATGGGTAAAGTATATATTTTCTGATTCCTGAACATATTTCTTACATGAATCAACAATTGAAATAGTGCCAACACATCCAAAACTGGAACAAAGAAAGGAAAAAGAAATAGTTGGGGTCTGATTTCAAAATTTTCAGAATTTTAAACATTTCCCCAATTTGGATCTTTTCAAGTTAGTTAAGACTTCTATGAAGTAAGTTTATTTAATCATATCTATCATATAGACACAAAAAAACTTACTTGAACATATTTCATCTACTTGCTGACCCATGAACCCTAGAAGGACCTTCCGGGGTGAAAAAAATGGCAATATTTTAGAGAAAATATGATTGAACATTGCACTTATCAAATCAGAACATATATCATATGTTATGTAAGGAAAAAATCCTCAAGTTCATCTATTTTAAAGTAATAAGCATCATGAGTTCAAACTGTGTGATCTGTTGCTTTGCAAATCATACACAATTTTGACCCAATATATTTTGATGTGACATGAATAAGATAAGGGTTGGATCTCTCCAACAATCTGTGGTGAACATCTTCAATTTGATTGTTGTTGTAACATTGCCTACTGAGACGTTCCAGATAGTTACGAATATCCTTATTGTTTACCTCTAAGCCTTCCTCAGAATACCATCCCAAGTTTTCTCCACCATTCATTTCAATTAATTTGGCATGATGCTGTATGGTCCCATGTAATGTGTGGTACAGCAAAACCTATTGCAAGTTGGTGATGTTAAGCATTGTTTTCTTGTAGAGCTGATCAAATTTAACAATGTTGATCTTTCTGTTATATGAAACTATTTGGAGAATAATGCTCAACTGTTTGTAGTTTTAACATTGATTCTTTGTGTTTTTGTTGTGCTTCTTACTGAACAGTTTGCCAATAACAGTAATCAACTCATTAGAATAAAATCAACAACTTCATCAGTTAACATACTGTGGAATTGATGTAATGTAAGCGCTGACCAGTTTTTTGTTTGAAGTCCCTCACCTTTGTCAAGGTGATCATATAAACCAGCCTTCTCAGCCCATTTCTTGTCTGCATGACAATGATACAACATTTACAAATACTATGTTCCAGGAGTGGGTGATAGTTATGCAGTGCTGGTCAGAATAGGAAAGTGGTTGTTGAGTAACACCTGCACTAGTTCCAAAGTCTCCTAGTATAATATGGATGTTTCTATAAACATCGAGGACTTCATTGAATATATTCTGCATATCTAAAGCCGAGCTGTCAATTTTGAAACCATCTTGTATTTTGTTTGGGTCCATCCAGTCTTTGACCTTGGACTTACACAGTATGAAATCCACACCTCCTAAGCCAAAAATCAATTTCTTCAACTTAGTCTTTCATAGAGTCTTTGATTACATATGACACACTAAAATTGTCATCACCAGCATTAATTGATAAACTATTAGTATTTAAATCATTCCGAGCATGATTAAGTAAAGCAAATGACTCAAATAACTTCTCAAAGAAAACGCTGACTCTATCACTATCACTTGTATTCATTTTGCCTGTGAACAGAAAAATGAAAAATAAAATGATAAAAAAACACCCTTCAACAACAGTCTAACCCAAGAAATTTGCTCCTCAACATATGACATATCACTAATTATGAAAGATTTTCATATTTCAGGATGAAAATCCGCAAATATAGAACGAGGCCTCAGGCCCCCACTATATGAAATTTTTCAATTTTCTTTATTTCATCCAATTTGACTGACTTTACCTATCTAAAAATCCCTGAATGGCCTTTCTATCATCAACAAAACCAAAATTAGAGCAATTTCTGTGTTTTGGGACCATTATGCCCAAATATGGAAATCTGGTCCCAGAATCCCCAAAATATGAAAAATTTTGACTTTCTTGATTTCACTGAATTAATGTTGCCCATGTACTTCCAACAAGCCCTCATACAATATCATACCATGAATATGTCTCAAATTATTCCCAAATATTGCCGTTCTGGGCCCAATGTGTGCCTCTTATCAGGCACATTTACTCTTTGACATGTGCATAAATTATAACTGAGTGAAGGGCAGACAACCAAGTTTTAGCTAATAATGCTACTGTACCATGACAAATTGCTTTTGTAAAAAGGAATTTTTTTTTTTCAATTGTTTTCTTTCTAATTTCTCTTTTAGACGAATAAAAGATGCAATAACCAAATATAGTCGAAGTACTGTTGTTGAATTGCAGCAGCGTTCAATAGAATATTCATCTCTCTTCAATAAATATGATCACATGAGGTAACTTAAAAAAATTTTTTTTTCATTAACTATTTTTTCAGGGAATTGTCATTATGAATTGAAATTGCTTAATCCATGCATTAAAAAAAAATGTGATTTTTCCTTCTTTTTTTTTTTTTTTTTTTTTTTAAATCAATATATTATTTATTTAATATCCATATTTTCAGAAACTAGCAAGATTCTTGTATTTGTTAATGGGTTTAATATAAGAGAGATAACTTTGCATCCTTGAAATTAACGAAAATCTTAATATCCTGGTCTTTATACATTTTTTTTTTTAAAATATCAATAATATAATCTTGCTATTTACATATCCTAAAATAATAAGCCACTCTAAATCAATAGTAGAAGCCTTTAAAGAAAATCTTCTGTCTACTGAGATTTTAAATATATTTTTCTCCGTAGGAGTGCTCTATTGGAACATATGCCTTTGATTGAAAGCAAACGTCAAAGTATGTTTAACAATGAGAATATTCAAGACAATGATTTGTTAAATGGTGAAGTAGAAAGAACAAATGTGCAGAATGTGCAACAGACTGAGGTTTGGCTACTTGTTTACTTATTCAATCTTTTTTCTAATGTATAAATAGATGAAATAATCAGAATATCTAAACATAGCAGAAATATTTAAAAATAAGATTTATAAAAGCAGAATGTTAATGAAATAGAACTTACTCGTCAGTGTTTTGTTATCCACATTTTCTAATATCACTACCTTTTTCAGCTTGTGTGAACTTTTACCAGTTTATAAAATGCAGTTTATAAAATGCGTACAAGGGCTCTTGAGAGATAAAAAGTTTCAGTGCATTTAATAGTGCTTTTGCTATACAGCTTGAGCCTTCAGAGCACAAAAACCATGCATAATACTAACACATTGAACATACTGTAATATTTGGATTTTTTCCTGTAAGATTAACTGCTGTGTATATTAAACTATAATTTGTACAGTTAATTTAGGGAAAAAATTAGCAGAGTAAATGATTTTGCTCTTACTACTGAATGTATATCTTTGAAATTAACCCAGGTTTTATCTGAAGTTTTGAGATGAGGCATCAGCTTTGCATGATAATTTATTTTAAATTGTATCCTTGTATTTGTTTCTTTTGCTACAAATTTTGGCTGATTAATTCTTTAGCTTTTGGTGAATAGTTAACATATTTCATAAATAAACAATCATTCTTAGAAGTTACTTGTTAACAAGAAAATCAGAAGGATTTACTCAATAATAAAAGTTTTGCACTTTCATAATTGAAAAAATAATGCAAATTTTTAGCATTGAGTAAATCGCTCTGATCAAATATTCACTTTAGCCATATAATATGGCTAAAGTGAATATTTGATCAGAGCGATTTATTTATTATATATATTTATATATATATTTGATCAGATGATTTATTTATTATATATATTTTTAAATAATTTGGTATTAAACTGTTTTCTGTAGAGTCAAAATATATTGGATCTTATTGGTGACCTTGGAACTGACCCAGTTATTAACACCAATCCTGACTCCCAACAACCCGCTGCTGCGACTGATCTACTTGACCTCTTGGATGTTGGAAGCAGCAGTAATACAGACAATGTCAACATAGGTTAGTACCGAGCTGAAGGAGAGTTTTTTTAATGTGGAATATTCTGAATGACTCTTTCTAAAGCACATTAAAATACTTTGTTAATACTTTACCCAATTTTCACCTTCACCTTTTAACTTTAAAAACAGCTTAAAATAAAATTTAATGTTTAAAAAACTCTATATAAAAAATCTTTTCATGGTACATGATGTCAGAAATTGTTTTAATTTCTAATTGCTCATGTATATTTTGTTGTGAATTGGTATATTTTTCTATTTAAAATATTTAAAGGAAATGATTTTTTAAAAGGATATTTTCTCTTATCAAAGTGAAAAATGTTTTTAATTGCCTTATAAGAACACCTGCCTTTTTGTTGTTATTATGGATACTAACAATTTTCTCTCTCCACAGAATTTTATTTTGTGAATTCTCATGTCTTTCAAATCCTGTACTTTGTATTTTATAGTTAAGATAAAAAATGCTAGACTAGCTAATAATTCTAGACTAGCTTTTTCTTTTAATCCTGACAATGACATTTTTTCTTTTGTGTGCAACAATTTGCAAGCACATCTAATCTAAAACATGCTTTGTAGTAAGTTATTCAAACCAATGATTCATCCATTTAAATTAACTTTTAACATTTTGACTGGATTATTGGAGAGGAGATATTCAACTGAATAAATTGTTTTTCTTCTGTTTTCCTTCAAATTGGCATTGTTTATTAGCATTTTGTAGGGTTTTTTTTTTAGTTGACTTTCTCTTCTATTTTGCAACTTTATTGCCATTGACTAAAGTCTCATGCTAGTTTGTTTAACTTGGGTTCAGTTGCTTTATGATTATGGTTACTACCAAGTTAAATTTAAAGGTGTTTTCAAAGGTTGATTTTATTGATGAAATTTAATAGTTGGTTGTGGATTAGGATTTACTTTATAAATCTATATCAGTGAAAATATTTTCATTTTCAGATAAAGGCCAAGTTACAATAATATCTTTGTTGTCTGAGAATTCCTCAACTTATCATTTTTGTAATCCTTATTCTTTTATCTTTTTTATATTACACTTATTTTGTTTTTATATGATTATTATATGTCATTAACAAATCTTCTATCAGATCAATTAAACCATCTATAGATACATGCTATATCCATAACCCAAATCATCTCTTTTTCCCAAGTCACTTGCTCATTTGTGGTGACCCATGAATTAAAATTATTTCAAATTAATAGCTTTGCACAAATTTGTTAGTTTTCTATGAAAATTATTTCATTTCTATAGCTAAATTCAACATAGGATGGAAAATGGGACACTGAAATTTGATAATGCACTGGAATAGCAAAAGATGTCTTCTAAAAGCTAAGCAAAGTATTAAGAAACAATAAAATTTTATTAGAAACGAAGAAAAGAGTATTGAACTGTTGGTGAATGCTAAATTACACAGATGAAAAAGAGACTTGAGGCAACAGAAATATGGTTCTACAGAAGGATGCTGAGAATCTTATAAACTGAACATGCGAGTAACAAGGAAGTTTTAGGAGAAAACAGGAATAAAAACACACAAAATAATTTTAAAAAACAATTGAAATTTCTAGGGCACATAATGAGCCAAGAAGTTTCAGAGAATTTGACATTCATAGAACATCTTGAAGATAAGCGAGACAGAGGAAAGCAGCACTAACAAGCTTGAGTAAATGGTTGGCAGAACAGAAATTAGGAGAGATAGTAAAAAGACAAACCTTACTAAGAGCTATGATCGCCATAGGCATAGAAGTATCATAAAAATATGTGCTGCACACATGTACAAATTACTGATGGCCTACTAACCAATTTGGCACAGTAATAGCACACATCTGTGTAAATCATTTACATGAACTGAGGTTAAATGAGGTACTGTCATTGTCAAAAATAGAGCCAAAAAAGAAATCTCAGTTTGAAATTCATTCCACTCAAAAGCAAGAAAAATATCTATAGTTCCTGTTGGTACTGGTTAGGTTTAGCATGTATTATTTTTGTATTAATAAGACAGATTAGCATTATCTTACATTATATGTCACTATATATACAGAGGTATTAGAATAGTAAAATTGCCAATAACATGCCATTTGTTTGTACACATACTTTGCAGAATTTCCAATGGAATCATCTAAGAAAATTCATCTAGTTGGGAATAAGAACTGTTTTTTAAAAAAAAGTAGTATTCAAAGAATAACATAGTTGTATGTTGAAGAAATAAAAAAAAATAGCTGTTATGAGTTTTTGGTTACAAAGGAAAGAAACAAACAAGGATTAAAATTTCAACATAAAAAACTTTCAAAATTCAAAATATATACATAGTTGTGTGAAAAGTGGCAAAAATTGTTTATATGTGGTTCCTTAGTTGCCATTGGTAAGGAAAACGATTAGATATAAGGGTATTGTTGGTAGAGCTGGGAGTTGACAAATTTCTTGGGTTGGTTGGCCAAGGTCACAATACAGATCAAGAGATAGGTCTGGAGTGGGTTAGTGAAGCCCTGTAGGTGTTGTTGGTAGTGTTTGACATATACCTTCCTTCATGGTTGAAATCAACGTCAGTGTTGTTTGATGAGTCAACGGCTGTGTGATGAGGCTGGTGTTAAAACCAAACTGCCTGGTTAGTTTGGTTGGTCATTCAAGGTCACAGTGATGGGTTAATTCATGGTAAGGTGCATTGCTTGCTGAGATTACAGTGGTGGCAACGAGGCATTAGGTGCAGATAATAAACATTGATCAAGCAGAAGCTTTCTATTAGATTCTGGTTGAATCAGAGATCAACAAATGGGGTCATGGTGGTGACGATGAGCAAGGCCTGGAGTGGGTTGTGCGGAATGTTTGTTGGTTTCTGGTTGAATGTAGTATCAATGAGATGTTTTCACAGTGGTGACAAGGGAGGCTTGAAGCTGAATGGTGATGAGGTACAGGTGTTAGAAATCACAGTAGTTGGCACAAGAGGAGCCTAGTGGTATCAAAGCTTGCTTGTCAGCTGCATTCCACATGAGAAGAATTGTGCAAGATCACAGTGGTGATGAGAGAGGTGATCATGGTGGTGATGGTGACACTGCATCAGTGTGCTGACAGGCAGCCTTTTAGCCCATAACTGTGTTGGTTGTTACAAAGGACTTTCTTTTAAGAAAATCGTATGGTCCCCAGGGTCATCTTTTTTCTGGCGAGGGCATTCATGATTGGCTATTCTATTTTATTGCAGGTATGTAAAGTGAATCAGAAGGCAAACTAATTGTGGCGAAGTACAACAAGCATGTCTGAAATGTTCTTTGTGCCATGAAATGAAGATTTTTACTTAGAACTATTCCACTGCAACACTATTTTTCTCTTTCTTACATGTTTTTCATCACTGACAAAATTAAACCCTATATGGTCAAAGAATAAGAAGATTTGGAATTTTTTTTCTTATATATAAAATATGCAACAACTTTTTCAATAGCATAACAGTTTGACACCATAAAAATTTAGATGTTATTAGGGATAACAGAAAAGGTCATTTTAATAATCTGTTTAGAAATTGATGAATTGTTAGGAAACAAATGCATAGAATCATTGATATTGATAACTGGCAACTCATTTATAACATTTCCTCTTATATATCTGAATATATAAGTGATAGGTTATCAGTTATGGATAAGTTGTTTATCTTACAACAACGCTGTCCATTCTCAACATATACTGGTATAATTTATTTGGCTGTATATTGGCCTTGTGTAATGATTAAAAGAAAATGCTGTGTGGATATACAAAATAAATCTTTATATATCACAATATAATAATACAGAAGGATAAGGTGAATGTTCGAGTTTCAAGTATAAACGTCCTGGTGCATAAGAGAAAGAGAGACTTAGAAAGAGTCTGGGAAGAAGTAAATATGTATATGTATGTATGTATCCAAATGTAGTAGCCACCGCTTGACCATGTGGTGAAGTAAGGTATATTTGTTTTCAGTGTAGCAAGAAACAGTTTAGCCATCAGCTATTTGTGCAAAGGATGTTTTTGCTTCTGGGTATGTTATGATAGCCACAAGATTGGAGAATGGACAAAATTAATTTATCGGCTCTGATTTTGGTTGATTTTTCCATGTTTATATACACATATATAAATCTGTTTAGAAAAGGCTAATCACTTCTCATTGGCAAGTTTTCTAACTGGTTGATCAAACTGGCTTTGTTTGCCTGGCAATTTTTATTATCCATTTTTGGTTTTGTTATTTATTTTTATTATTTATTTCTCTATCAACACCACATATATTCAATGCACATAATTACACAAAATTGAAAAATATGTCTGTTTTCTTAATGAAAAATGTTTATTTGAAACAATTGCTACAAAATAAAAAAAAATTTTTGTTAGCCCTCCTATTTAAATTACTTTAAGAGATTTGTGGATAAAGATCTAATATAAAAACATGGATTCATAGTTTTAATTTGTAAATATATATTTTTTTTTCTTAACAGGAACACCATCTGTGAACAACTTGATAGATGGGTTTCTGCAATCAACTACACCATTGAACAATCAAATGAATGGAAAATCAGGTGGGTATCTAGTTTAATCTATTTTCTATGACTATGATATCAGTCAGGACTTTAATTGAAGATTTTTTCTCTCCTTCAGTTTAAATTATTGATTACTAATAACTTTGTCAGTAAAAACCAATTTTATTGAAGACTTAAATTGCCAAAGCATAACAAGGAAAGAAAAACAGCACAAGTAAAACCTTCAGTCATAAACTTGCATTATTTTATGAGACATAACATCAAATAAACTAACATTTTGCAAATGGAAAACAAAATGAACCCAGTAACTTATTAAGCCAATATTTTATATTAAGCCAATATTAGATTCATATTGCTAACGATGGTGGTATTACAGATTCCAATTTCTTTTTAATGTCACTGATCTTGCTGAACTAATTAGGCCCGGCAAAATTATTATTTTCTAATCTGTCTTTAAAATGATGTAAATTGTAAGAAAAAGTACATTACTTTTAATCATTTTTAACATAAGCTCAGGTAGGTTTTGCTGATGTTATGACTATGCCTCAGTTTTATTTTTCTCATTATGCAGTTTAAATTGTTTTAATAATGCATTAAAATATACAAAATATTGTCCACCACAATCTTTTATGTACCAAATTAAGGATTTGTCAAAATTTCATAGTAAAATTTTGTTTACATATTTATAAGTTTCTTTTGGTGCTATTTCTAATGTATACTCTTAGGGAAAAGAATGTGCTATGAAGTAGAGTAATCTCTGGAATAGACATTGTCAGGTCCACAGATGGTAGCTCGACTGACATTTACTGTGGCATTCTACTTTTATAGCAGTATCTCATTTACACATAATACTACATTCCCTGAACTAAAATGGCCTTATGCTCTTCACTGATCTTTGACTTCTAATTATTCTTGGGAATCTAAATTGTCTTTCTTGGCATGTATCTTAATTTTTTTTATAGGGTACCTAGGTTTGAGTTTGTTTTCCTCTTCCGACTCATTGTCAGATTTCTGTTCATTATTATCCATAGATTGTTCATTTTCATTACTGGATTCATTAGTCCCTTCTTCCTCTTCATGTTCTTCACCTTCAGATTCTTTGTCCATTTCTATATCCTCAGGTTACATTCTACTTCTGAATTAATTCACTAGTACATTTTGCCCATTTTTCATTAGTATTGCTGTGTTGTGTCCTTTCAGTACTACAAAGTTTGCCTTCTTTGGATTAGATTCTTTGTCATTTTTATACCATACACTTTCACTTGTTGAAAATGACATTGTTATGGGAGCTCTAATCTATCTACCCATTAATGCAGAAGGACTTTGTAGTTTGTCAGCATGTGGAATTGTCCTATAGCTTAATAGTAATCTTGGTACGTAACCCTCTATATTATCATTAGATGGGTAAAATGCTTTTAGTCCCATTTTCACAGTCTGAATCATTCTTTCTATGATTCCATTTGGTTGTGGGATGGTAGAGTGGTTTCTTATATGGGATATATCCAATACTCTTTAGCCACAAGCTCAAATTTTCCTTGCAAAATTCTAGCACATTATCTGAGACCAAAGTTTTAGGCACCCCCATTACTTGAAAATGTTGTTCTTAAAATTTGTTTTAGTGGTGGCTTTTCTCTCAGCAACCTTAATTACTTCAGGCCATCCTAAAAATGAGTCCACTAAAATTAAAAATAGCCCCATGCCTTTAATATGAGCATAATTCATGTGTGCCCAAGCCCATGGTTCTTTTTCTTTAGGTCATGAGTGAATTTTTATTTAAGCACATTTTGGGCATCTTTTTACATCTCAAGAATATTCTGGCCACCACACTTGTAATTTTAATCTCATTTGTGTTGCTGTTATACTACAATGTACATCATTGTGTACACCTTTTTAGTATTTCTTTTGTTAAGCTTTTTGGAGGTATTATAATATCTCCATTGCATATTATGGCTTTCTCTACAGTTAACTTATGTCTTGATTCTTTGTAGGGTCTATCTGCCATTGAACAATTGCTTCATGTGTTTCTTTTTATTCTTCTACTTAACACTGGATTTTGTATGGTTTCCATTTTGAGATGATTTAGTGGTAACACATCCATTTCAACACAGTACAATATTTTATTTTCTGAATTTTCAGACATTTCTACTTTTTTACTGTCAAAATTTAGTCTGGGTAGCACATACACATATGACATAGTGTTCTCCTTTACATATATGATGTTGAAGTCAAAGACCATGAGTTTTACAGCCCATCTTAAAATTCTAGACAATGTGACTTTTACTTTCTGGGGTTAAATATAAATTCTAAAGGTTTCATCTTAACAAAAAATTTTGTGCTCTTTCTGTGCTCCATACTATTACTAATGCTTCTTTCTCAATACTTCAGTAGTTAGCTTCAGCCAACATTAATTTTCTCCACAGGTACATTATTGGATGACCTTCTTGAGATAAAATTGCGGCTACATGCTACAGCAAGTTCACTTGTATCCGTAGTCAATGCCACTTCTTTTCTTTTCTTTATCAAAGATTTTTGCAATTAGTTTTCTTATATTAGTTGTCGCCATATTTGCCATAAAAATTGGTCAATCCCAAAAAGGATTCTAATTCTTTTTTATTTTTTGGTGTAGATGTTTTCGATATTTTATTTATCAGTCTGGTGAAATGCCTTCATTAAATATTTGGTATCCCAAATACAATATTTTGTTGCAATTTAGCACACATTTGTTGCTATTTATCATCATACCATCATTCTTTAATTTGTTTAAAACTTGTTCAGTTGTAACAATATTTAGCATGACCGAACAGAAGAAATTGCATTAGTTTATACTATTGATTATTGGAGACACAGCAGAAGTACAATATTCAAGAAGATTAGTGAAGTGATAATAACGAGGTCGAAATGGGTGGTCACTTTTGTGATAGACTTGAACCCATACAAGGTGCTACTGAGCAGACTGAGAGATGAAATAAGGAAGCTGGGTATGGCACGCATAAAGGTAGCCCAGAATAATCCGGGACAGGAAGAATATCTTAAATTGTTATATCTCCTGGAGATGGAGAAAGCTGTAATGGAGGGCCAGTGGAACAATATGAGGAATTACATGAGAGAAATTGAACTACTACAGACCAGAGAAAAACGAGCATTAGTTCCCATAGTTGGGAAGGCGCTAAATGTCCTATTCGGTACAATAACAGAGGATAACATTAAGGTCATAAGGAGGGGTCTAGGAAAAGTAGAGAAGAATCAGAAAATCCTGGCCCAGAGAGCGCAGCAGAGTGTTTCGATATTAAACATTACGAGGATCGAATTGGCGATGAATAGAGCCAGTATCAATAGTTTAATAATTGGTAAGAGTAAGCTAAAGCAGGAAATAGCTAATAATTCAGAGACGATGGCAACTGAAGTGCAGGGATTAAGTAAATTCATTCAACAGTATTTCCAGTTGATCGCCGTTGCCAATAGGGTGCAACAGACCAGTCAGTCATTGACAATTTTATTAGAGCATGTGAGAGCTCAGATGGACATGTTGTCATTGGGACATTTGTCCCCTAGTGTGGTAGCTCCAGCACGCTTGAGGCTTTTGCTGAGAATACAGAGTGAATTGCCTCAGCACCTTAGATTACCGGTGGATCCCACCAAAGAGCTATGGAAGTAATGAATAAGGACCTTTTAGAGACCCTAATAGAAGAAATAGGAGTAGTAGTGGTTGGGGGGGATGAGTGGGCGGATGGCGTAACGCGGCGGGGCGTAACCGCTGTGGCAGGGGCGATGCACACTTGTCCGGCGCAGCCATTCTGCTAATACTTAATTAACAAGAAAAGAATTGAGAGCAAAAAAAAAGAAAAGGGCCATAAGAGAGAAAAAGGAACTGGGGAATAATTAAGTGAAAGATTAATTTATTATTAAGAGGATAAAAACAGAGAATCTGTTAACCTTGCAGGTATGGCAAAAGTGAAAAGACCAATGCTACTAATGATGATGATGATGATGATGATGAGCATGGAATCCTGGTCACGGCACCAGATTGTGACCGCCCCATGGTGTTGGATTGGCCTTCCAGGAACCAGACCACGAAGGGCCCTCGTCCCGGAACGAATTCTTCATCGACAGTGACGAAGCAGGTAGCTAGAAGCGGGTCTCTGAGTCAACTCCACCCACAGTGATCTCCCTTGCCCACGCTGTGAATTTGACAAAGAATTCGGAGTGAAGAAATAAACGCCAACCAGAAAACTTGAAAATCACCCCTTAAAGAAATTAGTGAAGAAATATCGCCAACCTCCGCAACAATCAGAGACAGTCTTTGTCAGTTTCTGTGAGGCTTCGGTGTGAAGAAATAACACCAACCAAGAACTCCGACCGGAGTGAAGAAATAACGCCAACCGGAAAACATGAAAATCACCCCTTAAAGAAATTAGTCGAGACTTTCGCTCCATGGTCAGCTTGTTAGGAACAGGGTTGGGAAGAAGACAATTGGTGATTGTATTCCGAATTCTTCTGTATATAAAGACTTTCTTTTCTACAACATACTCAGGCATTGTTCTGTTTATATTTGGTGCCGTTTCATCTACCCAATTGTGCATCCGCGTCCAGATTGGTTCGACTTGGCGGAGAGACACCTGGCGAAAACCCACGTGGCTTCCTTGAGATCAAATTCACGGTGTGGGCAAGGGAGTTCACTGTGGGTGGAGTGGACTCAGAGACCAGCTTCTAGCTACCTGCCTCGTCGCTGTCAACGTTGAATTCGTTCTGGGATGAGGGCCCTTCGTGGTCTGGTTCCTGGAAGGCTGATCCAACGCCGTAGGGCAGTCACACAGTTTTTTTTTTTTTCATTTTTAATTCCTCCTTATTGTAAGCACCCTTTTCAATATACCTTGTTCTACCATTTTCTTTAGTTTTGCAACTACCTTGGGTAGAATGTGAATAGGTATTTTTGAGATTCAAAATAGATCAGGCGACTATTTTCCTTTAGATCTATACTCGCTTTATATCCCTTATATTCTCTACCTATTTATTTTCTTTTTATATCTGCACACATATTGGATTGGATAGATTGGCGATGACTGGGTTTTTGTGGTAAATATGACAATTGTAACGAATGAATGGGTTGTGAATCAGATTAGCTAGGTATAAGATAGCAAGTGACGACCAGCCTCAACCCAATTCCACTTTTCGGCCTTGTGCTACAATTTTGTATTCTGTACAAAATAAATCAACTTGCTTCTAAATTCATATCATTTGCTTGTGGCCATTCTAGGATCTTATGTTTGTATGTAACATCATACATGCCTTCAATTAGTCTTAGAAGGATCAATTTGTCTTCTATAGACATTTCTCTTGAACCCAGTTTTTCAAATTCGCAATATCTTGATATTTCTTTCAATCTGTGTAAATATTGCATTAGAATTGATTGGTTTGGCAACTTATTATTGGTATCAGTTTCCATTTTTTCCCCTTGGTACTGTGATTTTCAATTCGTCCTTTGGTTTTTAATTTAATATTTTTGATTTTTAAGGAAGCCATTCATTTTCTTGTGCAATGATAGCATTTCCAGTCAATATCTGATTTCATTTGAGATTGATAAATTTGCAACTTAGTCTGTTCAACTCACAATTTCTCGTGTATTTCTGGTCCAATCTTAAAAATATTCATATGGCTGAAAATAAAATAATCTTTCAAAATATGTAATTTGTATGTGCTTTTATTCATTGAATTATTTTTTTACAGTGAGGTATTTTACTTCAAATAGCTGAAAATGTGAAATATGATTTTTTTCTTTTTTTTTTTTTTTCTTTTGAGACTAAATTTTACATGTTACTTTGTTTTGCAAAATCAAAGTGACCAATCTTTATCAATATTCTTGAAATTGTACACTCAATTAGAAGACACCTTAAACTAAAACCAGGAAGGTGTTCATTTCTTCTCTGACCCATGAAAGTGAATTCTTTCAAAAATTATAAAATAAGCAAAAAAAAACAAAAAAAAAAAAGAAACTGAAAGTAATGTGTGGAAAAAGAACTTTCAAATTATTGAAACTACAGACACTTGTTCTCAAGCAATTAATTATTTAATTTAGAAGCAAAAAACTCTTCCGTTTGTATCCAGAAATGCTGATAATAATTTGCTTTTAAAAAGCCACAAAATTAAACCTTCATGTTTAAAATAATTAAAAATACAGCAATTCTTTTCTGGTATGCCAGTCAACTGTTATTGGGGTTTTGCAAATAAATTTCTTCTAAACAAGGAAAACCAATGAGTTATTTTTTCCCTCTTAATAAATTTGTTTTATCTAGTGAATACACCTAAAACTAAATATTAAAAATAATTAAAAGCTTTTAATTTCATTTTTAGAAATTTATATTTCCAAAACTGCAAGTATCACCTGTTCTTTTTTTAGGTGGGCATTGTAAAACTGAAATTAAAAACTATTTTAATCATTTTAATATCATCTTACTTAAGTGTATTATTCGCCAGATAAAACCATAAAAATATTTGTAAAAATGGAATTAATTAATTTTCCTCGTTTAAAATAATTTTATAGGCAGAATACCCACCGAACACTAGTGGCTAAAAAAGAATTTTTACTTTGAGTTTAAAAAATAAATCACTTGCAGTTTTGAAAATACACACATTTTAAAACTGAGATTAAAACTTTATTTTTTTAATATCTAATTTCAGGTGTATTCACTAGATAGAAGCATAATTTTATTTGTAGAAAACAAACAATTTTACACTAGAGACTCACATATCTGGAAATACATACATTTTAAAAGTGAAATTAAGAACTATTTTAATCATTCTAATTTAGATACACTCCTAAAACAAATTTATTTATAAAAAAAATCTTCATTCATTTTCTTGTTTAAAAAACATTATTTCATGATTGGTGATTTCATGATTGACTTACTAGAAAACTCTTACAAAAAAATCCAACTTCATAAAATTTAACATTAAAACGAAACTGGAAATTTTTTTTTTTATTTTTACACACTATTTTGTTAACTTAATTTTACCACAAAAAGTTGTTTTGTTTTTTTAAGCTAAAACATCATGTTGTATTTTCCTTTTTTTCTATTTGAAAGCATTCTATGATTTCCAAGTGTCATATCTGTTGTATTTCCTTTTTTCTTCATTTCTTTTGTAAACAAATAGATTTCACATTTATTTCATAAAACTAGTCAATTAAATGATTTTAACATTTTTGTTCAATCTTTTTCTTTTACAATGGTACAAATGTTGATAAAATTTAATTTTATTAACATCTGAAAGTATTTTTCAGTAGTGTTTCTTTGGATATGGTCACTCAGTAGTGATAGCACTAAACCGAACAATTTCAGTTTCATAAAAAATTTTGATGCAGTTTCAGTGTGAAGATGAAACCAAAAAAATCAGTTTTTCAGTTAAACCGTCCATCTTTATATTGCATTACAGTTTCATTTGGGTTCTGCCTATTTTCCAGAAATTTCTGTACTCTCTGTAATAACCAGTTTTTTGGGGTTTTTTTTATAATGGTTGAAATTTCCTTATATTTTAAGTCTTCCAGTATTTTAGGGTACACCATAATGGATATTTTCTGCCAAAAATAAATCAGTAATTTCCTCTGGAGCTTTTCTTGTCTTTTATTTTCTTTACCCTAGCCAATGCTGCAAAAAATCTAATCCAAGTCTCTACATGCTCTGGTTCATCCAACATAGGGATCCTATCAGCGACACCATATGAAATAGACATTGTCAGGCCAACAGATGGTAGCTTGACTGACATTTTCTGTAGCATTCTGCCTTTATAGCAGTATCTCATTTACAGGCAATACTACAGAAAGGAAAAAAATAACATATTCAGCAAGCCATGATTGCTAGTAAAAATGATTTTGTCAGATATAGAGGAAAATATCAACAAGTTTATGGCTATCATGGCCTTCAGAAAGAGGCATCAATTAGCATACAGGCACTAATAACTGAGGAAAAAGAAAAGGTGTTCTGTGCTAATTCAGTGTCTTGCTTATTGTTAGTGCACTGTAGCCAGAATAAAACTAATTCAATACTAATAAATTCATACAGTTTGGTTGGATACATAGAAAATAGAAAATATTGTATACAAGTAAACAACCAGTACACTTGAATACATATTTGCTATTTTCTGAACAGAGTAACTATTTATAACTATCCCTTTCTAGTTCAACTAGTTCAATGGTTTATAAGAAAAATGAATCCAGAGTTTTCAAATTGAATGAGTTTTTGAATATATATATATATATATATATATATATATATATATATATATATATATATATATATATATAAAAGGATGACTTGGATACCAAAGCATGCAAGCCAGTTAACAAGGCAGAGAGTGGGCCAGTGGAGCTTTAACTACCTCTCTTTTGCCATTCTGTGGGTGAATGAAAACGTGAAAAATGATACTAGGATATAATTTGTTTTTAATTAATCAAAGCTTTAGGCGCTAGTTTACTTTATTACATAACTTTTTTAAAAAATAATATTAATTACTTAAAATTAAATTTTAAAGTATTTGAATGACTAAAAACTTTACCTTTTTAATCACAAAAAAAAACTTTGTTAGTTGCTCCTTTTTGTTCAAAGGGTGAACTGGTCAAGAAGAAAATTCTTGGTAGTGGTCACATGACTAAATCTGGGTCTTAAGCAAGATTCAAGAATACTCTCCATGGGTTAAATATTTTAAAAAAGTAACTATTGATGTGACATTAAGGTTGCCAGATGTTCTGTATGTACTTTTCAGTACTGAACAATCATACAAAATAAACCAGAATCAACAATAATACAAACTTGAAAATTAACTAAATACCCATATGAGGAAAGTTTCAAGTCCTTTGACTAGGCAAGTCTTTGATCTCAGCTACACAGAGCAATAAAAACATCATCACTTCAGGATAAAAAAAAATGTTGAGAATGTGCCTGCTGGCTTAAATACAGTTGGAAGGCAAGCAGTAAAAAATCTGCTTTTCTCTGCCTTTCTCTCTTTTACCTCCCACTCTTTTGGCTTTTTTTTCATGCTTCCTTGTTCAAGGGAAATAGAAGAAGAAAGCAATTAAAAAAAAAGAACTCTTTTCTAACTAATCAAACCAGAGCTTTTTTTAATTATATAATATCACTTGTTTACAATTTATGCTAAATAATGAAGAAATGGAAAATACAAAAAAGTACAATGAAAATAATGAAAATCATCAATAATTAATATTATATTACACAAAAATTATTTAAAACGTAAGACATGCATTGCATACATAGGCCCTTTCTCCCTGATGTACGTACGTGTGTGTGTGTATTTATGTAACTAATTAAATAGATAAATATGTAGCCCTGTCTAAATATATATACTGGCTTGCAAGTTTTCAACTGACTACATAAAATGATTTTAATAGTTAATATTTTTTAACAGTATGCTTTAATCAGTAGTTTATGTGTGTTGACTACAAAACATCCCCTTTCCCAAATTTATAGATAAATCATACAGTCTTAACAGTGATGTTTCAGTTGATACTTTATGCAGTGTATTACTTAAATGAATAAAAAGAACATCAAAACATTGGTATAAAAGAGGGAAGTAGTGAAAAGAACATCTAACATGGGAGGATGGAAAGTGATAAAAAATAATTTCTCGTGATGAATACAAAATAGTTACATTCTAATAATGCAAGAGAATATGTAAGTAAACCAATGGGAGAAAGAAACAGTGCAAGATACACCACGAAAAAACAAAAACATGCCTATATAATTATAGTAATGATTTTCAAAGAATCACAAGTGTGTATGCATTTTTTTATTATTAATGAACAAAGAAAAGGAATTCAGTTCTTTGAAATAATACCCCTTTATTTAAATATTTGAAAGCAATATTTTGTAATATATTTTTTTAATATTTGTTAGTAATTATTTTGTAATTGAAATAATGTGTATTTTGTTATACTGTTACTATTTTTCCTTTAGGTTACCCACCAATTATAGCCTTCAACAAGAATGGTTTACTGATTGAGTTTGTATGTGAAAAAGATGAGACCCAAGTTGGAGTGACCACTATCAATCTGAAAGCAACTAACTCTACCCCTTTGGCAATATCAGACTTTGTTTTCCAAGCTGCAGTTCCCAAGGTAAAATAACATTTAAATAAGTAGATCAACATCTTCTGCATCTTTCTAGACTATTGAAATAAAATCCCCAAAAAACAGGTGAATTTATTAATATTGAGCTGTAATAATGAAAATAAAAACATGAAAGTAGTAATGAAAAATATGAATAATGACAAAAATTATGATAGAAAGTTGATGTTTTTTATTGATGTAAATACATGTCTGCTAATATAAACTCATCATTTTTTTACTCTCTCTATTGAATTTATATGAGTAGGCATGAGGCTACAAAGAAAGTACTAAAAGCTGCTAAAAATTGTATAGGGCACCAAAATAACATTGTAGACCACAAGCAGGAGTATAAAAGTAAAAATAATAAAACACTCTACATTGGATAAAGATTTCACTTGAATAAATTTTGAAAACAACAATGAAAACAGTCCATCTTTTTCCTCCCATACTGAATATTATCTCATATAAAAACTTCACATAAAATTTACCCCATAATTCCTTCAATGAAAATGTTGAAAAGGACAAAAGAGACTGTCAAAAGAACTACAGAGAAAATATTATGGTAATAATGCTAGTAAATAAAATCTATAAGTGTTTACACAAACCACCAAATATTTCCATAAACAAATTTTGTATCATCCATCTTTTATTAAGATATCCAACTTCAAATGTATTGCTGTGTTCCACTTAAATATTCTTTTGTTTTTTTAATTGGCTGTTGTTACATAAAACTTTATTTTTATCCTTTCAGTCATTCCAATTGCAGCTGCTCTCTCCATCAGGAAATGTTATTCCAGCACAGAACAAAGGTGCTGTAAGCCAAATTATTAAAGTGAACAATCCACAGAAGGTAAGAAATGCAGCATTTCCAAAGCACTTTACTATAGTTGGCATCCATTTATCTTGCAAGGCAGTACCATGTTTGGTCAAAATTCAGTCTTTTGAGGGTGAGACTGGAATGTTCTCTTCAGGGCACCTGCCTGGGCAATGCACTGCCCAAACTACATGGCCCTCCTTTTGGCAATACTAACAAGATCCAAAGGAATACATGGCCAGCTTAGCTGCAGGAGTTGCTGGAAAGTTGTCATTGTTTCAGAACTCTACTTGGAGGTTTTCTGTCTGGATTTACTTCCATAGCCTTTTCTGCTTTTGGATATGACCGCAAGGCAGCAGAGGTTTAATATCAAGGTTTTCCTTCTCCTAGAAGGACTGCCTTCCTGGGCTGTCAAGTTCCTTCAACCTGAAGTAGGTGTTTATGAGGCGCCAGTTATCTGACTTCCCCCATTCTCTGGCTTGAAGCTGGGCTTAGTTGTCAGAGGCTATTTGAGATACATGCCATGGAAGCATCTTATAGACAGTGGGAGCATATCTTCATTATCACCTATGACAGCCTTTGGAACATATATAAACATTATATACATTACATGTTTTAGAAGCTCAAAAAAAAATTAACATTTTTTTTTTTTTTTCAATATATAAAATGTTAGGTAAACAAAAATACAAGAAAGTAAAACAAATTACAAAATAATTTGTCAAACACAGATATTAAAAATGTTGGTAATTTTGAAGAAAGGTAGCATAAAATGAAAATATAATCGGGATTTATGCCTAAAATACTCGAGTTATAAAGTCATTAGTTATCATACAATAAAATAATTGATACTACCTTTTAGACAGTACTAACATTATCAGTTGATAAATAAAACACTAGAGTAGAAAATACAAAGTTGATAAATATAGCTTTAAGTAAGCAAAAACAGAAACTAAAAATAAAACAATCTTCAGTTTAGTTGTAAAAAACTAATACTATACAGAAAAACTGGTATCTGTGGAAAATTTGAATGAAATAATAATGAACAATACATACATAACTTTAAATATAATAATCATAATATATTATTGAAATAAAAAATAAAAATTGCAAATTAAATTATTATATTTATTTTTAAGTAATATTTACATTCTTTTATATTCCTCAATACTGTTCTTGATATCTAAAAACAAAAATATATATCATTATCTCATGTCATATATATATATATATATATATATATATATATAATATAAACATGGAACCTATGTAAAGTGTGCATGATTTTTTAACAAAAGTAAGAAAAAAAATATATACACACCATTTAAATGACTTGTTATAAATTATTTACAAAACCTTATGAATGCCTATGGCTATTGCTATAAATATTCTGAAGATTTGCAAACTTTACAGAAAGAAATATTGTAAATATTTATTTAAAAAAATATAAACCGTGTTCAAAAATCATAGTAGATGAAAGTGATGGTAAGAAACATTTTTTAAGTAATCATTTTTTAATTAACAATCAAGAAAGTATAGAGAAATTTAATACAAGGTGGTGCCAAAAAGTTCTTAGCTTGACCAAGAAATTCTTCCAAATAACATTCTGATATTTAGTCAGATTTTGGAAAGCAGAACAGACAGAACTTTTCAGCACACTTTTGTATTTGGTGTTTATTCTCATCAACTTCAGAATAAAATTTTTCATCTTTCATTTGCATATTTTTTTTAGTATAAAGTTTCTCTATATATTTTTACTTGCATTCTCTTCATTAGCTTTCAAATATAGTGAAAGAGAAAAATAATAATCAAAATTATATTAACCTTATTCTGTCAGTAACATTTATATCAATTTTAAATTGTAAAATTCATTAGTTAATCATAACATTTTTCCATACACACACATACATATATATATATATATATATATTTATATACATATATATATATTTATATATATATATATATATAGTTTATGCAGAAAATAGCTAAACTTGAGTAAGGGAATGGTGAAATAGCATAAGTCAGCGTAAGAAACCTTGCTTATTATTTATTGAGTCCAAATACAGTAGGAGTTGACATGCCGTTAAATCCAACATCCATCCATCCAAATACAGTTAGCAATAAAATACATCAATGATGATTATATATTTTTTCCTAACACTATATATAGTGATACACTATCACTATATATACAATTATTACAATGAATAAAATTTCTTTATGTATCTTTTGTTTAATTAATTCTATCCATTTATCTCAATTTATATAAATAGCTACTTTTCAAAATTAGGCAATACTATATGTTTCAAGAATGTATAGTTTTTCATAAAATCTGTTTACAATTCTTATTGTGACTTTGTTTCTTTTTCCCTTTCAGCAACCACTTCGTATGCGTATCAAGCTTTCTTATTCCCAAAATGGTAACACAGTCACAGAAATGGGAGAAGTAAGCAACTTTCCAGAAAATCTGTGGCAATAAGATAAACTTTCCTCTGTTCTCCTCCACCCTGTAAACTATGTGATCTCTGGACTTGCCTTGGAATGCTGCCACCAGACCCTCCAAAATCCAACCATGAGGAGCTTACATTCGACCTGATCTGCAGCATTTACACTGTGCAAAACTCAAAATATTGCAGTCTTCTCATGTCTTTCTCTTGACACCCACACAAAAGCAGGAGGGGGCTGCACTTCAACGACTCAATTTTCAACAGCTTGGATGTAATGAATTTTTTTTCTTTAGATTTAAATTCTGTTTTTTGAAAAGAATACGAGACAACAGAATATGAATAAAAAGGGAGGTGAAAAAAGAATAAAGTCAGTATACCATCAGTTGCGTGTCTCAGATATTGTGACAATGACCAGCTTAAATACTTCTATACATTTCATAAAACTTGAGAATTTTTTTTAATTAATTATTACTGGTATATATATATATATATATATATATATATATAATTAAAAACTTGAATGTTTTGGTCAACATTGTTGAATGAATGGTGGAGGAATGAATGTAATTTGTTCATGAAATTTGGGATTTTTTTTTTTGTTTATTTTTATTATTTGGGATATCTGTTTCCCACTAAAGTGGAAAAAATTACTTTTTTGGAAAAATTAACAAATATAGAAAATGAGAAAGATATGTTATCAATTTTTTTCTTTTTTTTCTAAATGGAACTGATGTTATAGAAACATTTTTGTAAGTTTGCTCTTATTAAAAAAAAATTATACATACTTCAAAAGTAGTCTTTCATGTGGGCAGGCCACAGTCTGAATTGAAATGTTATAGTTTTGTGGATATGTTTTGTAAAAGGGGGTTAGGAAAAACACATTTAACATAAAGAAAAAAAAATCTAAACTAATACTTTCCAAAAAGAAAATTCAAATATAATTTCTCAAAGTTCTTAATTCTGGGGAAAAAAATAGCTTCATTTTTTATTCCTGAATTTTTCCTCATCTGCAAAAAATTTTCTTTTCTGCATATAAAAATATATTGATTTTTTTTTCTTTTATGTAAAATATACAGCTGACAAAAATGATTATCATTTTGATTTTGATGGTCATTTTTTTTTTTTGTTTTTTTTTATATACTAACTATTCACTTTTTCTTTTCTATTTTTTTTTTTTTTACTCTTAAAACAAAATTCAAGTCCTTCCCCACCAACAAATTAAGCAAAAAAAAAAAAATTGACCATCCACATTTTTTGTCATTACTCAAAAGGAAAAGAGAGTATATGATTTATTGTTAAAATTTGTTCCTTTTTTTTTTTTTTTTTTTTTTTTTTTTAACTTTTTTCTTTATTTTTTTTTTTCTCCTCCTTGTGAAATTTTATTTATTGGTTGATTTTTACTTATGCTTTTACAAATAAATAAATCCAATACAAGCAAAAATAATAAAAGAAATCTAGAAGGTGAAAAAATACACAAAATTCATTGCATTTTTTTTTTATATATAAGGTTGTAGATATTCTTTATCTCTCCTGTTCTTTCTCTCACTGTTGTAGATTTCTGATACTTCCAGTATGCTTGCTTGAACTTTTCAAATAGAATTGCATCAACAAAATGATTGAGTCCATTACCATTCTTAAAAGGAAGACAATATATGGTAAGGATTATGACAACAGATAGCTTTGATGTAATGGAAAAAACTTTTACTCTATTATTATTGGTTATTATTATAATTACTACACAGCAGGGGCAAAATAAAAGAAAGTTGATTTTTATCTTTACAATTTATTTTTTACAAACAAAACACACATTACCTTAAGCCAATGGGAATGTTGAAATCATGTAAAAATATTGATTGGTTGGCAAGAATTTCTCATGTTTTCTCTGTCCACTGGCCAGGTATGTTATCTCATGTAGAACTGGTCTTTTTTTCTTTTGTTCAGTACTTATGCTATCAACTATTAGGATTTTTTTCATAAAGGAAAATATAAATAAAAAAACAGCAAAAATAATTTTTGAATATTAAGTAATCACAGGAAATATGCCCAGAGGTTGTTTTTTTTAACAAAATAATTTTTCAAAGGTTTAAAATGATGAATTGTTTTTTTTGTTTTTTTTTTTTTTTTTAAAAAAAAGGCAAAACTGGTAATTACTAATATTTATTATTACACTGTATTTAGTTACTTCCTGATTTCCTCTTTCATATCTATCTGCCCCAATTCAGTACTCTTTACTCCAAATTGAAAGCAATTTTGACTTAATTGTAAATTGAAAAGCAGAAAACAAAACCAAAAGATCTATCTTGCAGAAATTTGGATTTTTGTAGTTATTTGTTTAAAGAATTTTTTCTTTTAAGAAGAGAAAAACTACCTTTTTTAGAAGAGGAAACATGCAGAATTGGAATTTTCACAGTTAACCATCATTCCAAGCCAAAATGTGTTCTCATTGATTAAAAAAAAAAAAAAAAATGAAAAACAAATGTAATAAAGGTTTTAACAGTTGAAATACTTTTGTTTGTTCTCATATTTTGTAAAATCTTTTTTCAAAAGTCATTGGAGTGATAAGTTTAGTCCTCACAGGATGCAAAGTTTGACCTAAGAACATTTAGTTCAAAAAGCAAACATTAACAGAATTGCTACTACACTAAGTTCTTTGTGTTCAAGTAACTCAGTAAAAATTTGCTTTATTGGTAATAATTTTTTTTTCTTTTTTTCATCTTTCATAGATTATTTGCACAAAATGTTTTTAATATTTTAGTCACTATGTTTTTGCTAATATATTCTCCAGAAATGTGTTTGCCACATTTGTGGATTTTCAATCAAAAAGGAATCTATCAATCTTTTTTTATCCTACATATAAATTACAACAAAGGCTCGAGAAGGCATCAGCAGAAATTCTGATCAAGATAAATACAAGGATACTAGTTCAAATAATTCATATGACAATATTTAATTTCAGAATTTTAAGAAAAATTCAACAAAAATATGCTGTTGAGTTTTAAATTTTTACTATATACATCAGAACCAGTTGATATAAATATGGTTAGTACCCATGATTTTGGATTCTGATTTTCAAAGCCAGCAGGCCCTTCCCATTTCTTAGTCTGGCACAAATGCAGATGGGTAAGCTTAGTAAATATCTATTGATCATGTTAATGGTTTCATTTAAAATGTTTTATGACATCTAAAGAAAAACATTATGCATTGATTCTAATATAGAAATTGATGATATAAATTTCGTGATCTGATTTGTTGGACAAACCTAACTTTGACACACTTCCAGATTCATGTAACATCCAGTAGAGAACAAATTTACTTGCAATGGACTTTGAAACCAACATTAACCAGTACTCTGCAACAGGTATTGGTATTGGGCATTATCTCTAATTTAGACCCCCCCACACACACACACACACACACACACGCACAAGGCTAGTAGTGGAGATGGGGATACCAGCCATTGTCCTGAAGAAATGTGCGTCTGAACTGGCCTCTGCCCTCTCCAAATTATAACTATTGCATCAATGAATCTTGTTTTCCAGACTGTTGGAAGTCCTCATCTATTGTTCCTGTCTTTAAGAACTCTGGAGACCCTTCTAATTACCGTCCTATCAGTCTCCTACCCCTCTTCGGCAAAGTTTAATCAACACAGAAGTGGTTAAGCACCTTACATCCCATGATCTGCTCTCCGACAAGCAATATGATTTCCGCTTTGCCTGTTCTACAGCTGATGTGCTTACGACTATAACTGAAATTGTTTACCAAGCTCTTCATAATAACAGAGAAGCTTGTGCCGTGGCTCTTGATATCTCAAAAGCGTTTGACAGGCCGGCCTTCTTCGCAAGCTTCAGGGTTATGGAATTTCAGGTCAATTGTTTGACTTAATACAATCATTCCTGTCAAACTGTGTATTGAAGGTCATTCTCAACAGATTTTCCTCCAGCTCCTATCCCACGAATGCAGGTGTTCCCTAAAGCTCCATCCTAGGCTCTACTCTGTTCCTCATCTTCATTAACAATCTTCCTGACATCATAGATTCCCAAGTAGGCATTTACGCAGACAACACTACTATTTACTCCTGCCTCAAAAACAAATCTAGTGTTGCTGACAAAACTAACCTGGCCATTTGTCTCAAAAAAGACTTCCAATTGGTTGTGGACTGGTGCAGGAATTGGCTGGTTAACTTTAATACCTCAAAAACAAAACTGCTTTCTCACCAAAGAGAACCATCCCTGCCCACCATTAGAATGTCTGACGCTCAACTCTACGAGAGCACCTCTTTGTGACTGCTCAGTCTCACATTGAGTGTTGACCTGAGATAGAACAAATACATTGAGTCAATAGCTTCGTCCACGAGCAAGGAAAGTTGGCTCCCTGTGCCGTGCCAGGAATTTTTTCTCGCTGGAGTCAATCCTTCAAATCTACAAATCAAGCATTCGCCCTTGCATGGAGTATTGCTGCCATATATAGTCTGGGGCTCCTTTTGTTTGTCTCAAGGTCCTTGATAAAATCCAGAGACGGATATGCAATGTAATTAGCCCTTATCAGGTATCTTGTCTGCAGTCACTCTGTCACAGACGTGCTGTCACCTCCCTCTGTCTTTTTTGCAAATACTTTCATGGTAACTGCTCCGATGAGTTGCTTTTGCTGGTTCCCAAACTTTATGATTTAAGCATTCAACTAGGCCAACATCTCACTCTCACCCTTTCACTGTCGAAACTGTTAAATGTAGCCGTCTCTTCTACTCTAATGGCTTCATGTCTCATACTTCTCACCTGTGGAACTCCCTCTTCTTTTCCTGTTTCCCTGATAGCTATAATCTCCAACTATTCAAATGTAATGTCAATCGACATCTCCAAATGCCTTGATCTAGCCACTATTCTTCTCTTCATCCTTTCTTCTATCACTCCTATTTGCTCTCACTCCAACTTTCTGTAACCCCTTGCGTGCTAGTGGCCTCCTGCCTTGCTTAGGGTGAAACGCTTAAAAAAAAAAAAAAAAAAATGATATCTTAGTGAACTATTATGTTCATTAA